CAGGTAAGGAAATTTCCGGTTCATAAACAAACCGGTTCGGAAATTTATTGAAAATCACCAAAATTGTTCGGTCCAATTATTTGCACATCCCAAGCAGACAACTCAGTTCCTATCATTCGTTACAGCCAAGCTATTGCTTGCTTGAGTGATGTTTATTAGACATTTTGACATCAATGGTTGGAGCATGTGCTGTTCTCCTTTTTATATTTATTTCAAAACGAGCTTTTTAGATATGAGCCAAACCAAAGGTTCATTAACGTGCCAATGACAACTTTTGAGGCATCTCTACAGGAAAGGGGTGGTGAATGACTTACATCTTGCTTAACGAGGTGAGGGAAGAGAATGTGGATGGAATGGAGCCTTCGATCTTGCTGTTCTCAAATGACCTGTAGAACAGCCAACGAGAACCAACGCAACAACAGTAGAGTTGACGGTTGGCAATCCACAAGGCGACGAAGGTTGACAGTCCAGACTTGAGCTGGAAAATATGTCAACACAACATTCCATGCTTGTGTCATTACGGCAAATCAGTTAAGCTTTACGCATAACAGGCATTTGGAGATGCTTGAGAAACTCTTTACCAGGTAGGGAATATGAAAAGCAATTGGTGGGACTTTGGCAAAAAAGGATTGCTTAATATTGTGAGGAAATTGGGCGAGGAGTATAAAGAGAATAGTTGCAAAATTTTGCCTCCAATCAGAGCTGCAAAAAACTTTGCAATATTTCTTCAATTCCCACCCATAATTTGTTCTTCAATAAACCCAGTCCGCGGGACCAGCCGTGGCCCGGATTACGTCCCAAAATGTTTTATGTCGGCCAGAACGGGTGGGTCCGGCACGCGGCCCGCCATGCTCATGTCTAGTACTACCATGTGAGACTAAAAGAGGTTCGAACAACCTGTCTAAATACTTTTCCATAGGGTAAAATAACAATCTATTTGCTATTTCTGCAAACAAATCGCGGATTGGTTGGGAGTTTCATGTTTTGGGATTGGCAACCATGGGAACCAGATAAAGCACTGGAAGGGAAAAGGAAAAGGGGGGGGGGGGAGAAAAGTTAGTACTAGGCTAAAGGCTTGGCCCCAAACCGCATTATTTCAAGTAAATGTGGGATCCTTTGTTGGTTAACAACCGCGACGATTCGGTTCGGTTCAACTCAGCCTGTGGCTCAAGAAGTCCGCTGAACTGGGTTAGTCTCAAAGAGGAGGAAGTGCCAAGAAGAACCCCACGAATGTTTTTGCCAAGCGTGTGACTGGTTCATAGCATACTGCATATTGCGAACAGAATATATATATTTTTTCACAATACACTCATGCTTCTGAGTGAGTGTATCTTCCCACATATCTTGAGACTAAACAAGGTGCAAAAGAGGCACTGATTACAAAGAACTGAAGGCAAAACTGTTCAGACAACAGGGATGTTACAAGTAGAACTGAACAATTATGCATAGTCAAACGTTGTGATCGACGATATGATGGCTGCACCTGACAGGCAAAAACGGTTGTCTCACAAGAAGGTGAGGCGCTTCAGAGCAGTCCAGTACTCTGGAAGAGCACCAACCAGTCCGTTGCCTGATGCATCACTGCCGGTGGGTGGGAAAGCGACGATATCATTTGTAAGCTGGGTTCAGACATCGCGGCAAACTGGTGTGTCACGAGTCCACAACTGATTTTCAGCCACATCAGGTAGTGTTCACAAACTCAAAACTGTATACTACACCAATCGATTGATACATAGCATTCCCTTGGCTTCTCGCAGGAGCAATACGTACTTAACTTTATATAGAGAGCTCAGTCAAGATCACGCGACCCACAAGAACAGACAATTGCCTTGTCTCTGCTCCTTCAGCACAAGTAGCTCCGCCATCTCTTACGCTGCTGTGTATACGTAGTTTCAACCAAATGGTATTACCCATATTTTCCTATCCACGAATTGAAAACTCAGCTGATCTTTCTGTAGATTTGCCTAATCATTGTGCTTTCTCAGCCAACCTTATGACTGAGAGCGCACAAAATCTCACAAGTTCTGCAGTTGGCTGAGGCGGTACAGTTCTTGCGGCACCACTCCGGTGCGATAGTCACTGTTGTGGGACACGTCACTGGCAGAAAAGGGAGAGGGTGGGGGTTGGGAAGGGAGGGAGAGAGGGAGAGAGAGAGCGAACAGAATGAACGGGCTCCTTTCGCTTCACATCTGGCTCTCTATCTGCACATCAGTCCTCTCACAGGAAGCACAGGAGCTGCTCGAGTCCAAGAAACATGCACAGGCCGCCTCCAGCGCAGCAACCCTAACACTTAGCATTCAGGGGCAATGATAGGCAGATCGTGAAGAGCACTTAGCATTCAGGATGGTGGTCCAATTCTGACAGAAGTTACCGTTCTCCGTGCCGATGAAATGTGACCACAGCAACAATACTCCCATTGTGGACGCTCGGCACCGCAATCACCTTGTCTGCTGTGCCGAAGATGGAAGGACCAACGCCCACAATGGACTCCATGACGAGATCATCCAGATCGTGCAAGATATGCACATTATTAGGACTCCAACCCCACACGGGCAATACCAGGGATCTGTGACGTCGCCTTCACTGGCCCTATATCAACACCTGGGACATGAATGACACCGAGGGCAGCGAATGGGCTGCTTGAACCAGCTCAGTTCCGGCCTCAGGTTCACTTTGGTTCAAACCAGACTTCACCAAATTGAACCGGGGTTCGTTTCAGTCGTCTCCCATGTCTGTGAAAGAGAGAAAGTGCTTGCAGGAGGCTTACAGGAATTGCAGAGCTGTCAAGTCCATGACCCATCGGGGGAACTGAGCTGTTGCAAGGCCAGACAAGTCCCTGCCAGGGAGTAAAGAAATGATTGTATATGCAAAAGTGAACTGAAAGGAGCAGATGCAACATGAGCAGGAGACAAAATGAGCAGATACAGGGAGAACAGCCTAGCAAGCACACACCACAGCGTTGTAGTGCTTGCTATGGGGGTCTCGGGCATGACCAAATCTTGAATCATAATTGGTTGTGTATGTAAATTTTGTCCTGGGTGTTCAAGTAGTGAGAGTCTCTTAGGGGCTCAAAAGTCAGTGCTGCTGCTAACTATGAATCAGACCTCTATCCCATCTAGACTCTTACCGGGGCAGACAAATGGAAAAAACACACCCAAAAAATGACTGCAAAGGCTAGCTAGAATTAACAGTATGCAAACACGAGATGTGTGCAAACATATGAAATTGCTTGCAAGTTCAAACAATATGTGTAAAACGCTCATACCATATTCCCCCGGACCTTTTTTTTGGGGGGGGCTTATTGAAAAAAAAAAATACTGGCCCATAAAGGGAAACAATCACACTTTTGACATGTAATTCGATAACGAAGATTTGCACGAATTTGGTAGGGGCTTGTAGTTGGAAAAATATCGCCCCTTTTGCTCATGTTAAGGGGGGAACGGGGGGAACCCGTGGCAAAAAAAGGGGGGGCTTATATCCGGGGGAATACGGTAGTCATTGACGTTAATGTTAGGTCCAACATAAGTCTGGATTGAGACTTCTTTGGCTTGGTTACCCCCAATGGGAAACGTCAAATTGAACTGGCCGGCCCACAAAAGTCAAAACTGCTGAACAGGTTTGAGCCAAACCTCTGAGGATCATGATAGCATCAGTCGGCTTCAGAGAACAAGCATGTGAGGTGGCTATTAGGATTATAGCCGAAACCTCACAGAAGAGGGCATGACAATTATGGCACAAATTATGTATTACAAGCAGGCTGAAATTATTTCACGTAATGCGTCTTCCACGTCATCGCTTGCATCGCAGCAGAAGCTCATTTGGTAACCAGAAGAGAATCGAATTTGTCCTTGCACCAAATACAGACCCAGGCAGACCAGGATCAGGCCGGCCTGGTCAAAACAGCGCCTTTCGGTCCTGCCACTATGGGCGGGCCTAGGGCGTCCCGGGCTTAGGTTGGGAAGTCCCAGCCAAAGGCATGTGTGGACCCAAGGAAGGGTGCACGGGCTGCTGGAATGGAGCTGAACACGCAGGTGGAGGGGTGCATTGCATGCATTTGACTCCCCCGCCTGGTGTGGCCGGCCGCGTGGCCGCCAGGCAGCACTTTGGCTGGTTCCGGTCCCCGGGATGGCCGCCGTATTGGTGAAATATTGGTGAAATAGCCGGCCTTCAGCCTGGCCTGTTTTCGTGCATAAGCAGTTTCAGATTCTCTCAATCATTCTGTTTATTCCCTTGTCTCCTTTCTTGATCGTCCCTAGCTTCTTGGATTTCACTCCCACCATTTTAAGTGCAACGTTCACAGCAGAAGTCAATGTGCCAAGCATCTTACTGCACTTGGATCAGTAGCCACTTGGGCAGCAGGAAACCTCCCCAACAGAATTGGTACTTGTTTAGCGCAAATTGAGATGGAGACTGGTGGTACTAAGAGTAATACGATCGGACCAGCACCAGCAATCATTCCCTGCCAGTCAATGTTGGATGAATGAAGGCCATGATGATTTATATGTCCACCTTGACCACAATATCCTTGCCCTTCAAACTTTGGTTGGCACTATTGACCTCTAAATAATTTTACTAGTTTAACTTACTGCTGGGGACCACTAATTATGCCCAAGATCATAACCAACCCCCCTTTACTAGCTCAAATATGTATGTCCCCTGTTTCTAACAGGGAAGGCAGCACAGAAAGCTAACAAATAGGTGAGGGAAGTGAGGGAGCCGAGCAACACCGGTAGCTCTCCGGTCCAATGGCTGTTGCTAGACATAGATCTGCAAGGATGTAGTAGGTGAATGATGCACTTAACGACGAGTAGTGGTGCAAAAATATTGAATCAGTGTTACAAAGACGAAATTACTAGTGAAATCAATTTCTGTAGAGTGCAGAAATGTGCGAGGATGTGCACGCACCTTGCTACTACGACTACCCATATGGCAAACATTTTTTAAACGTGCAAGCTCCTATAAAGCTCTCCAATGTTCGTGTGCCGTCATGTCACTCTTACAGGCTTTGCATAGATCCGAGAGCAGTGAGAAAATTGAGGGATGAGAGGTCTCCTTCCACACTCGACATGTAACTCAACCCGCTGATATGTTGCCATGGATGGATGCACAGGACAAAGTAGAAGAGGGTTGATCATGGCAGTTCAACACCTCCAAGCACACAAGGACCAAGCGGTGCTGCAGGTTAAGATTGCCAACGCAGTCAAATCAGTTGTGTTGTAATACTTTCATACAAAATGCATAGACTAGAATAGGAGGTGTGGTTGCTAGTTACATGTACGGTTGTTGCGGGGTGTACCCGCCTACCAAAATATGTGACTGAATCTCTCTGGTTGGGTTACCAACAGATATTGGCCCTCCAAGAATGTTGTTCAAATTCTAAACAACAATTATCTGGGGCTCCAATAATGTCTCACCTGGGAACCCACACAAACATTTGCTTGGTCGGACTTACAGGATGTTTGAATGGGTTACAGAGTAAGCCCTGTTTGGCCTGTTAAAATGGGTTACAGATTCAGCCCTAGTTGCAGCAGAGCATGTAACACACGTTTGAGACGATGCGAGGAGGCATACAGAGAAGATGCAGAACGTACAGAGAGGATGCAGTACGCACAGCGAGGATGGGGCATACAGAGAGGGTGCAGGGCATACAGAGGGCATACATAGAGAGGGTGTGGGGCATACAGCGAGGAGGCAAGACATACAGAGAGCGCAGGTTGGTGAGGCTTGAGATCCACGAGAGGTCCTCCAAACGCCCAGTGATGTTCAGTGCACCGATGTTGCTGAAAGCAGGAGATAAGGTACATGGAGGGAGGGGTGGAGCGGGCCGGGAGAGATGTTGTTCAATATCCAGAAAGGGAGGGGTGTATGGGAGGAGAGGGGCGTGAGGGGAGAAAGGGTGGGGGTGAGGGAGAGGGGAGAGAGAAAAGGGAGACATTGAATAGGCGAAACAAGGAAAGAATAAAAGGAAAGAAGGCAGAACATAATTGTTGGACAAGCAGGTCAAGGAAGAAGCAAGATCACTGGCTGGAACTAGAGGTATGCTCGAGGAAGCCAGCTGCTTGCATGGCACACAAAAAGTGGCACAAGGTGATGAGGAATAATCAATGCAGAAAACTGACAGGTATGTGAGGCGGGTGAGGCGGGTGAGAGTGGAGGGCAGGCTCCCAGAGAGAGAAGTATCAGCAATGTCTCTGGTCAAGTGTTGGGTGGGGGGGTGGAGGGGAGGAAGGTGGGGAAGGAAGAGGAGCAGGAGAGTAATGGAGGTGAATGGAAGAATGCGTGAAGAGAAACAGACAAAGACTCCACTGCCCTGCGAGTGTCTTTGGGGCAACCCAAGTGCTGGTTCGGCCAGCGCACAGGCCTGGGACGCTTTGCAGGAGAATCACACTATGTAAATCAAGGTGGGCGCTGGGCGTGACAACAACGGTGGGTCCCGGGTTTTGATATTCACATGTGCCCTGTGAGATGGAACCCACTCACAGGTGTGCGAGAGCGGAGAGCGATAGGATGGAGGATGGTAGCGATCCAGATACTTGAGTCCCAGCCACGTCCCTGCTCGCGGTTAGATGGGGGGGGGGGGGGGGGGGAGGAGGGAACACGATGGGGGGGAGATAAAAGGAGAGGAACTCTATATGTGCGACTTCCATTATATTCTTTAACAAGGGAACGTGCAACGAAGGCTTAAGGATAGATTTCAAGCGAAGCAGCTCCTTGCCAGTGCTCATGTAGGAGTTGTCACTTGTGTCATGCCCTTGTGTGAAACGTACCACGTGGTGTGGTGGCAGCCAGCCATCCAGCCAGCCAGCCAGCCAGCCAGTTAGCCAGCCAGCCAGCCAGCCAGCCAGTTAGCCAGCCAGCCAGCCAGCCAGCCAGTTAGCCAGACAGTCAGCCAGGCAGCCACCATGCCACCATCTCACCATGCAACCATGCCACCATCTCACCAGCGAGTTATTGCGGAAGCGAGAAGCAGGCACTGGCAATACTCACAGCACACGCAGGGAGTTGGGCAAAGGGAGGTGAGTGATGGAACCGTAGATGTAGTAATTCTCTCCTAGCACACTGACGGGCAGGGCGGAAAGGGCAGCAGAGTCGAGAGAGGGAAAGAGACGGGTGGGGATGGGGGTTGGAAGATAGGGGATGGAGGGTTGGTTGGGGAGGGCCGCAGGGGAGGATGAAAGAGAATCGGGGCTGTATGAGGGTGGGATGGGTGGACTGGGGCTGGGATGGGTTAACTAGGGGATATTGGCAAACATGATGTGCGCTTTAAACAACTTCACTAATCAGGTAATGCTGGATTTGCACCAGTGACTGCCACGTGCACAGAACCGTGTGCAAAGGAACACGAAGGAAGGATCATGGGTTTTTGGAGAAACGACACGGATTGGAGCGGAACAAACAGCAGGGGGGGTAAGGGGTGAACAAGCGAATGGCACAGAAATCCGAACATTAGAAGAATTCCAAAAAGGCCAAGTAGCACATTGTTTGGAGGATAACAAATGTTGAGTCACAACGCTGGATCCAAATGTTGAGTCACAACGCTGGATGACGGTATGAGAGAAACGGAAAGAAAATGTGGGGGCGGCAACGGTGAGGAAGCACCGGACTCACAGGCGTCTGAGAAAGGGCATGCTGGAAAAAACATTGTGGGGCATGGTCGCATTGATCCCCAGGTAAGGCAGGACACTGCACAAAACAAAGTGTTGCATTCAATAAGCAAGAGCATGAACGCACGAGGTTTCACATACACATTTAGCAACATCAATCATGCTGTTCGTAATACGTCAGACCAAAGCCGCCACTGACTCTTTGAACTTTCGCTTACACTCCAGGAGCAACGTCCCACACGTGGCGTTCACGCTGGCCCAAGTGCTTACGACAACCCACACATTTCCCTTACCGCGCTCGCTTGATGTCTGCACAACACACCACACCAGCACAGAGCAGAGCGACGTACACGGCAGTGATGAAGCCCTGCGCGTTGCACTGGATGTACTCCCATTGGTCGCAGCGGTGTGAGTGGTTAGAGTTGGACGGCCACAGCTGCCACGCGGCGTTCAGCGCCTCCAGCGCGCGCACTGCACGACCAGCACACATGGCACGACCAGCACACACGGCGGCATGACCAGCACACACGGCTTGACCACGACCAGCATACACGACACGACCAGCACACACGATACGACAAGCACACACGATACGACCAGCACACACGATACGACCAGCACACACGGTACGACCAGCACACACGATACGGCCATCACACACGGTACGACCAGCACACACGACACGGCCAGCACACACGATACGACCAGCACACACGGTACGACCAGCACACACGATACGACCAGCACCCATGATACGACCAGCACACACGATACGACCAGCACACACGATACGACCAGCACACAAGATACGACCACCACACACGATACGGCCAGCACACACGGCACGACCAGCACACACGACACGACGAGCACACACGATATGACCAGCACACATGATACGACCAGCACACACGATACGACCAGCACCCACGATATGACCAGCACACACGATACGACCAGCACACACGATACGACGAGCACACACACTACGACGAGCACACACGGTACGACCAGCACACACGATACGACCAGCACCCACGATACGGCCAGCACACACGATACGACCAGCACACACAGCACCACAAGCACACACAGCACGACAAGCACACAAGCACGGAGCAAGGAAGAGCCAAGACAGATATGGATTAGCCAGTTGCATTGGGTGAATCGATCAGCAAGCAGTGAAAAGATGGCTTACATAGTGCCGTTGGGGATAGCGCATCGTGTTCCGGACAGCATGTTGTGTTAGGGACAGCATCATATGCGTAGGGAACAGCGCATGGCGCTGAATGGATTGTATATAGCCTGCTCGTCGCATTGCCAGTCTCAAATGAAATTTGTTTAGGGATTAGGGAATCTGTTTAGGGATGGAAGGGGCTTGTTAGGATGGATCGTGGGCAGGGGAAATTGAAAAGAGGCGAGGAGGAACTTCCTTTTTGAAACGTGGGGACCACTATGAAACCAACAATACGGATTGTTAATCTACATCGATTTTTCTACTCCAAACTTTGTTTGTAAAGCGTATCAGAAGAACCACATGCCTGGAGACGGGAGCTGAGAACAAGATTGAGTAGGCGGCAAGTACTAGGGCGGGTCAGGATTAGTTAATAGCCATGGTAAACAATATTTATTTCCTCCAAGAAGAAACGCTCAGCCTTACACTGGCTAACAGCGAGGGTCTTCGGCCCTGCGTCGAGCATGCTTCTGCGTGAAGAGGACGCCGCGGCGCCGGCGGGGGTGTCGAGGAGGGTCGCCGTATGGCGAGGCTCGTCGGCGAGGTTCCACTCGCCACCCACTGGCGCCGCCGCCGCCGCCAGCGCAATGTCGCCTTCTTCGGCGCAGGGAATCGCAGCGACGTGAAGGGACGCGGCATGCAAAACGATGATTAGTAGTGCTAGTACTAGTAGCAGAGTGGAACCATAGAAATCAACGTCTGCGCGTTTGCGGAAGAAACTACGAGGCGACAGCAGCGCCATGATCATTGATATAGTAAAACAGAATCTCAAAAGTGGTCGCGAAGTAGTAAGGCCCGCGCTAAAATGCAGCTCGTCTAAAGCTGGATAGTAGCACTACTACGGTAGTAGTAGTGGCAGCAAATGCAAGGCGGAGAATTGTGATATTCTAGCATTGATTTTTAGAACTTCGATAGCAAGGGCAATGGAGTGGGTGGGTAGGTGGGAAAGTGGTTTGGATGTTTCACTTTTTGGGGACGTAGCACGACTGTAACCATGCTCAATTCCAACAATAAACGTGTAGCGGATGACTTTCCATGACCAACAGACTCTTTGACGGGATCAACAGTGCATCATATCTGGACGTTGATACTGATCTACGATTGGCTGGCAAATTCTCAACCACAGCACAATGCGTCGTGGCCACTCGTCTTCGTGCCACGCTTCTTCACAAAATTGCTGCCAGGAAGAGCCTTCCTCCAATTTTACTGTACCGCTCATCCAACGGGGAATCCCGTTACTAAGGAACAGACACTCTCGATCGTGCGCGTTATAGAGGTTTGGTTCGTCGCTTTCTGCTCACTGTGCACAGTTTCGAGTCTGTGGAGCCTAGTCCAGTTTGTGCAGGTCGACGGGGAGTGTCGTTTTTCTTGAGGGATGAAAGTAACCAATAAAATCTAGTTTCTGCGAAGGGTCACGAAATGGACTTGTCCATTAAATGCTCAGTACAGTCAGCCCGGGTAAGGAGACTTTACCTGAAACGAGTCCTTGCGTTTCTCTTACACTTAATTCTCGTTACGGGAACGCCACCTTTTCCTTTTCAAATGGACTGAATCGAGCATGGGATTTGTTTCATTCACAGGAAAATATGAGAATATCAGTATAAATGACTTTTTGCATGCCTCAAGTGGTAATACTCGCAACAGATATAACGAGCAGACGGATAATACGGTGGTAATTTGAGGGGTCAACGGTTGTGATCGAAACATGGGCTTGTAGATGATGGGCCATTTTCCATGTTCAAACACACAAAGGATACTATTTCTCAGTGGGAGAGGCAAATTCATGGTAGAATATTGGGCATCATATGTGCTTCTCCCCAGGTCGCCACGGGAAAAAAAAAAAAAAAAAAAAAAAAAAAAAAAAAAAGGGACTGTCAACGAAAAGTGGGAATGTTTTGTAACCATATCAACTTCTCATATGTCGGCAGCCTTTTTTTTGTTT